GAGGTGCTTGAAGAGAGCACGCCTCCCAAAACAGCTGCTGGTGAGCTTCTACAGGTCAGCCATTGAGTCAGTGCTCACATACTGCATCACAGTATGGTACTCTGGTTGCACCGCTGAGAACAGGAAAGCTCTCCAGTGCATCATTAAGTCTGCAGAGAGGATCATCGCCACCCAGCTCCCCAGACTAGAGGACGTCTACCAGACCCACTGCATCTGGAGGGTTAAGGGTATCATCAGAGACAGCACACACCCTGGACACTGCTTCTTCACCCCCCTGCCCTCAGGAAGGCGCTACAGAGCACTGAGCGCCCGCACAACAAGACTTAAAAACAGTTTCTACCATAGAGCTGTGACACTCCTGAACTACCCCCCTCCCACACTGATGCCCTCCTCCCCCTCTCTCACACACCCGCCCTACTCCTCAGGAGCCCCCACCGCCCTCCTCCCTCTCTTTACATCAATACACAGACATGCACACACACACACACACACACAGGCGAATTCGCCTCAAAAGTTCAATATTTTCAACTCAAGCAATGAGGCGTTGGACGCGAATTTCGGGTCTATCGCGCTGCGCTAGACGCCTCTATCGCGTCCATCGCGTTCATCGCGTCGCGCTAGACGCATCCATCGCGCCGCCCGGCGCAATTTCGCGACTAATCGCGTCTTTGCATTGACTTTGCAAAACTCCCCAAAAAAACCCTTTAACGGGGGGAAAAATGGTAGAAACCTCAGGAAGAGCATGAGGAGGGATCCCTCTTCCAGGACAGACAGACGTGCAATAGATGTCGTACAGAACAGATCAGCATAATAAATTAACAGTAATCCGTATGACACAATGAGACAGAGAGAGAGAGAGAGAGAGAGAGAGAGAGAGAGAGAGAGAGATGCAGGACAGACGGTAATGACAGTAGCTTACAACAACATTAATGAAAGTAATAATATTATAGTTAATAATAATATATTAATATCTGATAGTATACATGTGTGACAATAATCATATGTGTATAATAACAGTAGAAGTATGACTAATGATACCAGCAGGAGGCATCTGGTAGCAGCACAACCACACACGTCACACTATCCAGGCTCTGGAGAAGAAGCCGAGTTAGTGACATCCAGAATGGCCGAGTTAGCAAGATGCAGTAATAGGACACGAGAGAGAGAGAGAGAGAGAGAGAGAGAGAGAGAGAGAGAAAGAGAGAGAGAGACAGAGAAGGAGAAGGTGCCCGGTGTATTATAGGGGGTCCTCCGGCAGACTAGGCGTAAGTCAGCCTAACTAGGGGCTGGTACAGGGCAAGCCTGAGCCAGCCCTAACAAATGAAGACATCTGCTGACATCACCTTAGGCTCTAAGATACTGTGAAGGTCATTTTAAGATAATGTAAAAAGGAAAAAGAAGTGATTGAGAGTCACAAAGGATAAAAATATGACAAAAGACACAAATCAGATAAAACTAGAATTACCGCCCTGCGGTTGTATGCCAGTCAAGTTTATCTTACAGTTTAGATCCATGTCTGTGAAAACATGGATGCTTCACACACATCTTCCCCTGCAGCACAGATCTATACAATCAGCACAGTTTCAAGGTGGACACCCAAGATTAGTGTCACAAATTCAGTATTTGACCAAATGTCTCCCCTTCTGTTCCTGAGATATGATGTTGAATAATGGCCAGAAAAATGTTTTATTCAGAACATTATGATGTGATAGTGAAGTTGACCTTTGACATTTTGGACATGAAATGTCATAATTTCATTATTTTATCCTACTAGACATTTGTGTGAAGTTTTGTCATAATTAGTGTATGAATTCATGTTATGGCCAAAAACATATTTTGAGAGATCACAGTGACCTTGACCTTTGACTTTCGACGACAGTTCTAATCAGTTTATTATTCAGTCCAAGTAGACATTGAATGAAACAGATGAGGTCACAGAGACCTTGACCTTTGACCTATGACAACCAAAATCAAATCAGTTTATCACTGACTCCAACTGAACGTTTCTCCTAAATTTGAAAAAAGTTCCCTGTAGGCTATCTTGAGATATCACGTTCACAAGGATGGGGCGGACAGATGTATGTGCGTATACGGACAGAGGTACGGAGGGATGGAGTGATGGACAACCCAAAAACATAATGCCTCTGCTATTGCTGTTGTGGAGGCGTAATAAGAATAAAACACTACAAATTCTATATACACTATAAACACCTTTCACTTATACAGACACTGTATGTTCATGATTAATAGTTGCACAGGATAACTGTTGTGTAGTATACTCACTATGAGATATGGAAATATAACCCATAAATATTGTTGCACAATAAGTGCTAAAATATTGCAGTGGTAAATTTTTCAGGAAGTACACACACACACACACACACACACACACACACACACACACACACACACACACAGTATAAATATGAAGGATGCAGATAAGGATATTAACATCTCTATGTATTTGTGAATTGGTATGATTATGAATAAGCAGAATATTTATATATATATATATATATATATATATATATATATATATATATATATGTATGTATGTAACCTGAGGTAGAAATTGTGCAAATTAACTGGTGTTGTAAGTGCTGGGGGATGAGGCACTTGTTTTTTATGCTATATATGTCAAAAGATTGATCAAATAATCAAGAAAATAATTGGCAGATTAATTGATTATGAAAATAATATTTAGTTGCAGCCCTACCAACAGGTGTGTGAAACAATATTCATTAGCAGATAAAGATAAATGTGTCTGTGTGTCTCTCTCACTTCCATCTCTAGATGCTCCACTGAGTTCTCAGAGCTAATTTAACCAAACAGCATCCTCTGCTGGTTGTAAACCAGTTATTGGTTTACCTTATTGCATGCCAAATCTGGCCATGTAGTTTACCAACCATTCTCTGATTCACAATAGAAATAAACCGATTCACAATGGAATTTCAATTTTTCCGTATGTTGAATGTAAATAAGGTGCCAGAGTGCAAAAAGTGCATCAAAATAGATAATTTAAAAAAAGTGCCAGGGGAGGATCCATCAGTCCACCCAGTTGAGTGTCTGGGCTAAACTCAGAATTTCCTCATTTCTAGAAACTGGCCCCTGGACTCCTGTTATTTTGCAGAAGTGGCCCCTGGCAGAGTGGGTTTAGTACTCCTGCTGTAGAGCTTAAATCTGTGGTTCTGAGACGTCCACAGTTGCCACAGTTGAGCAATTGGTCCTATATTACAGTAGATTTCTTTGATTATCATCATTACTTTTACTCTGTCTGCCTTTACTGCATAACTACTTTGTACAACTTAATGTAATGTGTTTGAAGACCTTTGTCCCATCAGGAGTAATGAAAATATACTGCACAAGACAAACAACTTCTTTTGGATGCACAATTTATCTTTTACCCTTTTGCTTTTTCTTTCACAGTGTAACTGGGTCATGAATGAGGACCTTATACAGGATAACTGAAAGAGTCGGGCCTGTAAAATCTGTGTGTGAGAACTGAGATTTATCTATAAATTGTACCTGTGGACACTATCTACTTTTGATTTTTATCTGATCATGTTCTTATCACCAACATTACGTGAGACTGATATCCTAACATGATTTCGAACTTGCAGTGTGACATGTCTGTTTTATATATATAAGATTACTTAAAATATATCAGATAATGCATGAATTGTGCCTTTTGTAGGCTAGATCCCCTTAAACAGTTGTTGATATAGTCCTGCATTTTTGTGATTAAAGAGGTTTTGGGATATTTTTATTTTAGCTGCCATTGGTTCAAATTGGAAGTGATGTTTTGGGTATGACAGGAGATCTCAGTTATATCTAACTTTTAATTGTTATGAATTAGGACTGTTAGCGTTAATTTTTTGAAATTTGCATTTGTCACATGCTGCTATTTTCGCTGCCACATGTGTTTCATATGCTATAGATGGCTGAGTTTTAAAGCTAGACCTAAGGAGTCCAGTGGTATATTATGCCAGCTTCTCAGGAAGGGGGCGAAATAACACTCCAAAATTAGGCAAAATTTTGGCCATTTTTTCCCTTGACCTCTCTCCCCATAATATCTGAATAAAAATGGGTTATGTGGATACCCACAAGTCTCCCCTTTACAGACATGTCAATTTTATGTTAGTCCCAAACAGTTTTGCGCACAAACTATTCACCTGTCTGCATGCAATGTTTATTACAGATTTATGACTGGACAAACTTGACACACAGTGTTGAGCTGCATCTCAAAATAACTTTCAGGTTTCCAGCTTTCAGCTCTCCACTTTTATGTAGCATATACTGTTGACCTGCTATCTCCACTAAAGACCTTTACAATTATATACTTCCATTACTATATTCAACAATCTTGCAGTGAATTGCAGTGGAAAGTAAAATGACAACCTGTTCCGAGGTGTACGGGATAAAGAAATGTCATAATTACGACATATGATCTCATAATTAGGAGATCTTATATTGGAATTATGAGATAATGCCTTTTTTTTCTAATTCAGTTTCTGTAGTGGTGAATTATGTTAGCAGTACAAAATTTTTGTATTGGTTGTTTAGATTATTATTGTGTATCTAATTCATCAGGCCTACACTTCAATAACAACAGAATGTGTTTCTCACCATGGCAATAAAAGTGTCAGTTTGAGAGTATCACCTGGAAAAATGTAGTTTGGGTTGTGTGTTTGAGGAGAAGTCCTTCATCATGTCTTTACTGTTTCTATCTTTTTTCCTCTGAATAGTATAGTAGAGCTCTTAAGCTATCTAAAATGATATCATGTGACGAGCTAAGACATTTGGATCATAATCAAAAATCATCAAAAATAAATAAGGTAAATTATCACAAAGTGTCTCACTTGTCACCCTATTTAAATACCCTAGTGTATATCCAGCCCACTAGGTGGCACTAATGCATCTTAACCTTGCTTGGTGCTCGCCACAAAAGAAGATAAGCGCAATAGGCGAACAGTTTGAACCTCGGAGCTTGCCGTCGTCGCCACAATAGGACGTCACATTGTATTCCTCGTTTCCAGAAACGGACAATAGTACTCCGTTTCAAACATTTCAGCACACTGAATTAATTGCATGTATCACAGAATTAAAAGAGCAGCATTTGAACTTTATTGTGTAAGTACATTTGGAGCCAGTTAGGACTCCGTTTGTAACGCTGTGAAAGCAGTAAATAAGCTAGTAGGAAACACTGGCGCCTTGAAGCCCCTTTTTCCTTGTCTTCAGTAACATAGCTGTCTGACGCTTTTCCTCCAAAATGATGAACTATTCTGACTACGACTCTGATGGATATTCATCTAATGAAGATGCAGACTACGTCCCGTCAGGTGAGCGCTGTAAACCCCCTGTGTTGTTAAAAGCGGCGGCAAAGCAACGTTAGTGTACTGAAGGAAACATCACATGGAGGGTTCTCGTGGTTTCAAGTGTTCAGTGTTATAGCTTATGAATTAGTCATAGAAGATGAATACCATTAGCTCAGTCACAACGTTAACAGTCACGCATTAGAGATGATAATGTAGCTGCTGTGTAAAAAAATCTCATCATGTAAAGTGACATTTTAACGTGCTGTTCCTCGGCTCTCTGACTGTGTACCAAAGCCCGTTAAGAAAACGAGCATTTATCGGTGAATTGCTTCTCTGCAAATATAAACACCTCGATGATCAAATCTGAAGAGTCATCAGTGAAAGTGAATCTACTGGTGATATCCGGCTTGAATTTCGATTCATCCAGCAGCGCGTATATTAATGTATTTTCAATCTCTTACATTCTGATGTACCGTATTTAACGTTTTGTTAGGGTCACTAGCACATAGTTAAATTGTTTCAAACTGTCCTTCCCCTTCGTCAGGTTAACATTTCATCATCAGTTATAGTGTGCATGTAATCTGCTTGATGTGGCTGATCACTGATTAGATGATGATGATGATGATGATGATGTTTAGTTGTGCACACTAGTGGCCTCTTTATTAACTACACCCCAGCTCAGCCATAAAATCTACCTTTACCAATTATCATGCTCAGTTTTTGTGGACATTGTCAGAAATATGTCATTTCAATTATATGTTTATTAATGAGCTGATAGTTGGGGCAGCATTCCCACCCAACTACCACCCTGTTATTGTATGGAAAAATTCTGCCCACCTTTTTGGCACGCTAGTCCCTTTTTCAACATAGAAACTTCATTCAGACATCGAAATGTTGAGCACAGTTAGAACATGAATGCTTTTATTTTGATCACCCATGTCTTTCAAACTTTCTGAGATATTCACCCTTTTTACGGGAGATTTTCTGCATCAGATGAATGGAGGAATGTATAAGTTAAACTCAAATTTAAGTTTTTTCCAAGCATTTTCAAAGCCTGTTTCTTCATTCCTACGTTCATGTAAAACTCCATTCAGACTATAAAATGTTCCCATCTTTCATACGTTCTGGCTTGTAAGCAACTTTGAAATCCCATTCAAACTTTTTTAAATATTCAGACTTGTTGCAGCTTGGTAAAAATGCCCTTCTCAGGTTTATACATTGGTTTCTATGAAATAAAATGTTTGAAGCTAGAGTGGGGGACTCAACCGGCAGTTCAGAGAGCTTCTTAAAGGTTTCTCTTTAACTCGCTGTCACGCCCACAGTTTTAATTCTACATATCATATTTTGTTGAAATGGACTAAAACTTTCAAACAATGTTGCTGTGGAAGCAATCTGACCTACACTTTGAACTAACTGAAAGTTAGAGAAACTCCACCAACTGTTGCATTTAACGCAATGTTAACTGAGACCAGAAATCTTAAAATATTCAACAGCATTCAGACATTAATGGTATTATTCAATACTTGAAGCCAGCATTGCAGTGTAGCGTCAGCTTTTCAACATGCAGCATTCACACCCACAGTTTCTTCAGAAATTGCATTCTCTAGTTAAAGGTGGTGTTGTACTTAACTACATTATATACTGAGAGGTGTTTCTATTTTTGGTCCTCTGTCCTATTTACAACCATGATGGGGCAGAATGTAATGCAGTCCAGTACATCTGTTGATCTCAGTGCTGATAATATTAACACAGAGATTTCCCGCTATCATATCACAAAAGAGCTGGGCAATATATCAGTTTTATATTAATATTGTGTTAACGCACTAGATATTGTCTTAGATTTTGGCTTCCTCCCACAGTCCCAGTCCCAAGACGCCATGATTAGTTCAAACGGCAAAGTGATTAAAATCAAATTAAATAACAATTAAATAAAAATAACCATACATTTGAAATTCAGTAAACTGTAATATTGAATTAATCCCCTGCCCTGTCTGTTAACTAGTGGATCTCTGTGTATACACATCCTGTTCTTCCTCAGACGATAACCTCAGCGAGGACGACATTAATGAGTGTGAAAAGGAAGACCCTCTGCACGAGGGTGACAGTGTGCCACATCCTGGCGATGTCATCAAGAAGAAGAGGAAGAAAAAGGACATCAGTATGAGGTAAGATACTGAAAGACTTGTGGTAGGACAGTCAAGGAGAGGACAGAGAACATTCTGCTCCAGTGAGACATACAGGGAGACGGCTACACTAAGCTAGCTCACTGTAAGATGTTTATTAATGCCGAGACCAGACCAGAAAATAATAGAGGCTCATCCGATAACCTACAGGTCTGGGGTCTCATTTATAACCATTAGGAATGCACAACACAAGGTCTGACCTGAAACTCTGACGCATACCTAGGAGCATTTTGGAGGCAGTGGAAATTGGTGACACAGATGGTGAGGTGGTGAACTGAGGTGAAATTGTAGAAATTAACTGTGAGAGACATCATTATATGTATAATAAAGACTTTCACACATTAAATTTCACCTGATATTAATATCATATTACTTATAGATTGATAGATTGATAATCATTTAATCCAGTGGCGTTATTAGAGCTTATGTTAGTGAGCCATAACTTTTCCATAAACACCTTTCAGTTGTAAATATTATAAGCCAACTCAAATCTCACCTCGAATGATATGATTGCGAAACGGAGTGTCAACAGTTTCCAATAATATCTTCTAGTACTGTAAATACATATCACCAAACGTGTTTTAAGTTTTCAGATAGTTTTTGTTTGTAAAATCGCTGCATTGAACACGATTAGGCACACACAGAGTGCACTGGAGACATTGTGGTGGCAGACGCACACTTTTCCTTCTCCAGTCACCTTACATACACCTTCACCACCTACATATATGGATTGTGTAAATCACTTAAGTCTGGAAATAAAGCCAGTGCCAGCTCTCACACAATTATTTAACTCCATATCCTCACTTTGAGTCCTAATCATAATGCAGGCCAAGATCATGTAACAAACTTAGATCAGTAAATAAATTAATTGTGTTCACTTATCAAACTTATCCCAGGGTCGATGATCCACTATTTGTCACAATCATTTTTGGCACAGTGGGAAACAGTCAGTCTAAATGCTGTAAACATACAAACACTGAATATTACATACATTGTAAAGCATTCTATTTCATGTCTCCATCTGCTGGTGGGCCATCTTGATAAGAGTATGTGTGCAAAATACCATGTTCATTCCACTACAGAAGAGAGTTGATGATCACTAAAATAAGGTGGGGAAAAAGGTGTATATCAGTATAGGTTATCAGCTTAGTAAATTGTTATACATCGGCATATCAGATATCAACAAAAAAAATCCAATATCGTGCATCAGTAATATTACCCAAAATCCTGTTGGTAATGTGTTACATTACTTTGTTACTGCTAAAACGTAATACATTACTGTAATACGTCACCCCAACGCTGGAAATACCCTCCAGTTTCTCAGTATGACCTGAATTCGGCAATAAATATTAGGCCCCAGTTTTCCCACTTTGTTCTGAGTCGCTGAAGTGGACCTGGACCCAAACTTCAGTCCGACAACATGGATAAAAAACACTTTATCAGCAGGCATGTTCAGTGACTTTCCTAAATTCTTGAATGAAATGTCTGCCCTTTTTATCCAGTCAACAAAATTCAGTATCTTTCAGTGCATTTACTACAGTGTTTATTTTTAATCAAAGATACATAAGAAAAAACTTATTTCTTAATAAAAGTCTGTGATGTGAATGTTGATAACGGTTATTCGCTGGTGTCCTTGAAAAAATCTACAGAAAGAGAAAGAAAGGAGTACTGAAGGTAGACAAGGAGAAGGATGGAGATGGAGCAGAAGAGGCCCCGCCACCAGAGGAAGAGGTGGGAAAATTCACTGAGGCACACGAGGATGATGAGGCAAAGCAGAAGAAAAAATCCGATGACCTGTGGGCGAGTTTCCTGTCTGATGTCGGATCCAGACCCAAAGACCCCACACCTGCCTCACAGTCAGGTACCACACAGAAGGTAAATTTGCTCAAAACCAAAATGTACAAAGAAGATGGCACCATGTTTAAAATGTAAACGGTTTGAGGGTACCAAAGCATCGAAGTGCTTTCATGTGATTAACCTGTAAAGTGACAGGAGCCCTGCAAATGTTTCAAAAAGAAACATAATGAGTTTGCATGTTCTAAACAGATTTTCCCTCAGTCATGAATTTCCTGGGAAAGTAATGAAAATTAAAAAAATTGATTTCCAGGTCTGGAAATGGTTTGGAATTAACAGAATGTTTTGAAAAGTTTTGAATATACATTGTTTTGGTTATTATATAAAATGTTTTCATAAAAATCCCAAAACAGGTCTAACATCATGCAAAACAAGTTCCTTGCATCACTAATTTAAACTCTAGTGCTACGCTGTGTCACCACTGAAACGTCACCAGTATTACATGATACACATAGACCAGACTGGCATTGTGTCATCACCAAGGCCACGCCCCCTTTTGTGGCAAAGACACATTAGGAGATAAATGGGAAAATGCCAAAAAGCTGATGTGTATCAGGTTAACCAAGGCTTCCACACTGAGATTTTCAGGCACATCAGATTGGTGAATATTCACTGTCAGTGTGACAAATCACTAAATGATGCTGGTGTCAGCTGATGGAGAGCTGCTGAAGTGGGGGGGAGCTACGACTATGACTGTAGTCATGCAGTGTAGCAGCATCAGACTGTCGGCTCTGATTTGATTGAATCACCAGAGGCCTGTACTACAAAGCAGGATTTGGAGTTAGCAGATTAGCAGGAACAGCTAACCTGCTCTGCTCTTCTTCGAAAATAAGTATCCATGGAAGAAAGTCTGGAGTCTCAGGTAATAAAGGAGTAGCCTATATATTGTTATAGGTCAGTTGTAATAGTAGGTGATTTAATTGTTCCAGGGCTCTATTTCCACTGGTTTTAAAACACAGCGTCTAACAAACAGAGAGCTTGTTTACAACTCTGTCTGTCACCTTTTCTCTCCCTGACTGATTCTTTTGTTTTATCCTCAGGATGATTCCTCAGTATTGCAGGCTGAGTGTTTGAGTCCAACAACAAAAGCATCAGAACCTGCTAAAGTCACCATCACGAAAGTTTTCGACTTCGCTGGAGAAGAAGTGAGGTACGCCATCATCAACAGTTTGAGACAGTTTGACTGTGAAAAGATTTGTTTTTCATGAACCAGAAAAAGGAAGAAAATAAACACATGATTAAGTATCAAATAATTTAATCGGGTAGAGCTTTCACATGTAAGTTGAAACTTACCTGAAACATAATGTAGTAGATAAATTAGATAAACTACACAGCAGATAAGAGTTCCTGACATTCTGTGTGTATCATTTTTTTTCATCCATTAATGCAATCACTACACCTCACAGCATAACTTCAAATTGTAAAGTGTATAGATGATGATAATGTCTTTGCTTGGTGGCAGACCATTTTCACATTGACCAGTAGGTGGTGCCACACACACACACACACACATACACACGGTTGATGGCAGTACTGTGTAGAAGGGCTTTAGTCAGATATGAGTTCAGTTTTATGTAGCTCTCTCAGAGCCTGATGTCTCACATACTACTATGAAGTGTCAATGTGAACAGGTGCACAGTTATTTAAGCACTTAACACATTCACTTCAGAGTAGGGACACACCTGTATCCGATAAACTTAGTCGGGAAAGCACAAACAATACGATGGAATACGATGATTAATTCCACCTGAAGTTGCTTGTTGTTATTGTGGGGGAAAAACATGTTTATACATTATGTTTCTTTAAATTGATAGAAATGCCCATTCCGCTGACAACATTGGACTTTGATTTTACGAACTATTTATTTCATTTATGACACACAAAAGTGATCCCTATGTTGTGTTTGCCACTATCAGCGCACAGTAGGTGAAGCACATCAGGAGGAGGCATCATGTGCAGGAGCAGTGAGTCAAAAGCCCAGTGTGGTAGCTGGATTTCTGTCAAACCCTCACAAACTATACATTAAAATCAAGTCTGGAACCTGTGGGGTTTTTTTCTGTATGTGATAATTTCTCCTATTTAAAACACTCAGTCGAAAAATGTTAAAGAATGACGATTCACCTTGTATTTAAGTCAATATTCATACATTTAAGATGTAACACGCTGAATGTATTAGCAGTACGTTTCATGGAATTTTAACTTAGCGTCCACTGTCACCCTACTAAGTATTTCATGATTATTTAAACAGATGGAAATAAAAAGACCTAAGAAACAAAATGCAAATAATAGGAAATAAAAGTTCCCCCAAAATAAATGTAAGTAGTCCTCTGAAAATGTCCTTTAAAAAACTACTTATTTATTTGAAATAGATCTAATCATTTATGTATATTTTGCACTACAGCCCTTTTTACACAGAGATGGCGTGATAGAGCCTCTACGAAGTCCATTCTTTACACCGCTTTTGCATTTTTACACAGAACCAAACAACGGCTGCATCATGTTTCTTCAGTGTGTGATTTTAGACAGCATGCTGGCAGGTGTGATGGGCGTAATACAACAGCATCAGCCTCCATTGTGACATATAACGTACGTGTCTTTAGCACTTTATAAACAATAACAATTGCATAACATGGTAAAAACAATCATTTACCATCTCTGTTGGTGGCTGATCTCATCCTCTGCTCCTGGACCTCACTGTTTTCAGTTCTTCTTTATTGAGTTCGCTGCTAACTGCTATCAGCTACTTTTTAAAACTCTCGCAGAGGGTTGCACATATAACATGTCGTCAAAATGTAACATGTGCCATCCATGATCCCATCCTGCTGGCTGTCTTGTTTATACAAAGTAGAAAACAAACAAATCTGGTTTGTTTCTTTGTGGTGTGCGGATTTACTTGTTTTCTACTTTGCTAGATGTTTCTTTGGTCCCGCATGCACTCCATTGATCTTGGGATGTGTTTCTTTTGTACTGTTTTTGTCTTGTTTATAGAGACATCGCTTTGGCACTGTTACTATCTCTGATGCCATCTTAAAGAAAAGACAACTCTTTCTCCCCATTCTGTGATTTTGCCGTCTATACAGAATGGCGAGGCGGCATAACAGCATGAAATTCCAACTTTGTAGAGCCAGTGTAAAAGTAGCTTATGTAACCAGCTCGGTGATCATCTGGCGACCTGTCCAGGGTGTGCCCGATTTCTCGCCCAGTGTCAACTCAGGCTCCAGCCCCTTACAGCCCTGAATAGGATAAGCAATTACAGATAATGTACAATGAATGAATGAATGGTATTCCATAGTACTGGGCTTCATACTGTTCATAAACTTAGTTTAGTTAGAAATAAAAATGAGAGAAAGATGACAAGCAGGCTACAGTATGAGGATGTGGAAATATATTTCCCAATTAATTATGTGCCCATATGAATAATTAATCTGATGCTTTAAAGGTACAACAATTGCATTGCCAATATTGGAAAACACAACATTTACCTGGTTTATCGTGACTGATTGTATAAACCGATAGAAGACCATGTCCGGTCTTCTATCCAAATACAGAGACTGATAATTTTGTTGGTTGATCAGATACAGATTATGATGTCTCTGTACACCTCTAGTTCAAAGTTGATGAATATGGATCATAACCACCCCAGAATCTGATGTGGGAGTCGTCAGTTAACTTCTCCATCACTTACATACAGTAAAAATGCTGAAGTTTGGCTTTTACTGTTCTCCCAATAACCAGCAATTAAGACAGTGTTCCGTTTTTAATACTGTTGAAACCAGTATTATTGAAAAAAGAAACGGGACCTGGCTCTCATGTAGTAAATCATTAACTCTAGCACTACCCTCAGGACAAACTTTACAGACCTTTGGGCTTTAAGACCAGCAAAGTCTCCAGCATGTTTATTCTGTCCAACGCTCTAATGAACATTTTCACATTAAAGCTGGTAAAGAGTAGGCAAGTAGGAATTTGTTATATTAATTATTAATATTACAAATGGAAATTTAAAAAATTCTGTCCATTGGATTCATTCTGCTACAATAATAGTTAATGATTGAAATGAGAAACTTTATCTTTAAAGGGCCAGTGTGTAATATTTGGCATGGTTTATTGTCAAATCTGAATCTGAATCTGAATATTCTACCCATTAATATGTCTATATAAGTGTATAATCGCTATAAAATAAAATTTGTTTGGTTTTCGTAGCCTTATAATTATGCTTTTATATATATATATATATATATATCAAGGGCCTTGCTTTAGAGAGGTCGCCATCTTGCGCTGCCATGTATGTACGGCAGACCGAGTGGACAATCCAGCCAGCCAGAGAACGCGTTTCGCGTGTATAAATGAACTAACGAAGACAGCGGAAGGAAGGAAGAAGGAGGAGGAAACAGCAGAGAGTGTTAGTAGTTCGTTGATAGAGAGTTGAAGTTTTTTTTAGTTATAAAGTTTGGGAATGGACCACACTTACCATGCAACAGGAGAGAATGAGCCCGAACCGTCATCTGCGAGGAAAAGAAGACGCAACTTCACTCCTTGTGATGCACTCTCTGCGGCGCTTTTCCTCCTGATGATGTATCTCCCAACAATGGTAGCACCAAATCCCATTCTGTGCAGCAAAATGGGAGCGGAGGATTCAGCCTCTCTTCTCGCCCGCTCAGCATCCAAGTTCCTCATCTGTATGCTCCGAATCAAACAGGTATGGCTCTGGGTCTGTGTCTGCTACAGGAAACTCTACAAAATCGTGTTCAAAGTCGTCCATTGCAGATACTATAGTCCGGAGGTATTGCTAGGCTAAATAAACAGCTGAGCTCTGTTTACCGGCTACGCTTTCAGTCAGTGTGCGGGCTGGAGATTGGTGGAGCAGAGAGGGGAGGGGGTGCCCGCTAGGTATCGTAAACGAGAATGTGTGTATGGAGTGTGTGTGTTACGCTAGAAGAGTCAGAGTTTGGGACGGAGTCTTTTACCCCCTGGAGTGTTACCGGAGTTTCTGGAGTGCTCAAATAAACGGGCCTTTTTCCCGAACGCTCCTCTGGTCTCCTGCTCGTGAGGGATTCATTACAATATCGTAACATGGTTTAGATTTCTAAATAAACATTCACCTCGTCGCTAGATAGACCTACTCCTGAAAAACTCTTGTCTGCGCAAGGCTTTTTGTCCCTACGAGGCCACCGTCATTTACCCGACGGGAGGGGTGAGCGAGTGAGCCCTGCAATCTAGAATTTGACCACTGATGTCACTGTTTTCAACAGTTTTCAACCCATTTTACACAGTGGCCCTTTAAAATTTTATCTCATTAGATAAAATAGATGCTGACAATTTCTTTCTTTGATAAACATAATTTGCAGTTGAAAAAAGGTAATACATCTCAATATATGTTATCGCAATACTCAGCATATTGCAAAATGTTTAAATTTGCAATAATATTGTATCGTGACGAAAGTATTGTTTAGCCTCTGGTGATTCCCACTCTTAGTGAAGACTGGAAAATAGATTTTATCTCAGCCTCAGCAGCACGTTTAAAGCAGACCTCAACAATTGACCCTACAATGTAGGCAGTAATCCCATGCTTTAATTATATGTAGCTGACAGTGTGAACAGTTTAATTAGCCCCTGGAACAGACTCAGTTTGCAGTAATGTTTCTAACTGAGCCTGAGTAATTATCACAGCTCATGACATTCCTTCAATAAGAGCCACACAAACAGCCGAGTGTTTCCCCATAAAAACAGTATAATTATGACTGTGTAAGATGAACATACTGTATATCACACAGACAGCCACACCCCTGCAGTCTGAAAAGATGCTAGTTATGTGGAGCGAGTAATGTCCCATCCTAAATGTTTATGTCTGAGTGGTCTGTATTCAGAAACCAGATATGATCCTGGATATAATTCATCTGATTGATTATGCATGAAGCTGTGTGCTCTGTAATTACAGAAGCATAAGATTAGTACATGGATGATGGTTGTAACATATCCCCAGAGCCACAAAAAAAACTGCTGCAGGCTCTAATGTGTGATTTGAGCATTGATTTTTCAGTGAAGACGGCCGTTGGCACCAAATACTGCGATATTTCAAATAGTATCCAGAGGACCACCAGTCAAGCCTGCTGTTGCCCTCGTGTCTTTTCAGGCTATTCTCCTCAGGACTCCGATATCTTTCTTGTGGCTGAGACAAGACTCGCCCTCACTGTGTGCTCTGTGTAATTATGGCTGCATATAATTAGCATACATAACAGGGAAAGCCTTTCAGTGCCGCCATGATGGATGCAAGTGGTTGTGGAGTCTGTGCAGCACTGATGTTCCCAGAGGATGCAGTGGTTGTTCCTCATATAGCCTCCCTATCTCACCCCATAGTGAGACAGGGACACATCTGTGTCTTACTCTGTGTGTGTCCTTTTATATAGCATGTGCTTAAAGGCAGAGGCAGAGGCGAGCATACACCCTGTCTTAATATTTACTTTTTAACATTTAGATGCAGAATGGGCTCAGCAGCTGTGTGGATTAGATTTGTGTTGATGGATCTTGGTCTTTTATCATCATAAAAAGATGATATTTCTGCATATTTGTATGTATGTATTTGTTAAAGAAAGTGCACATTAATCAACATTTAAATGTAAATGTGTGAAAATTAACCAAGATTGACTAATTGTTTGTTGACTAAGTGTTGTTGTTAGTCCTGTCAGACTGTGCCACACTTGTACATATACAGTAAAACTAGTTAATTTGGTGTAATAAAATACTGTATCAGTACCTTCCAGGCATATTCACACAGAGATTTTATGCAGCCCTAAGCAGATTTCCTCTCATTACTCATGATGAGGATGACAAAGGTTAAATGAACCCTTGGGGAAAATCAGCCGAGGAATCTGTTCAGAAACATCCACTGGGCTTCCACTGATAAAGAAATGATAGGGATATGCATTTACATTCAATCTGACTCACATTTATGTGTGTATGTATGTAATGTAGAGCATAATGGAATACTAGAACTCTACATGGAAGCTTATGTTTAAAGAAATATAGCCTATATATGTTTATGCCTGCCTTTGAGGAATCTAACACTTGATCGGTTGTGAATTATTAGCCTGTCATGCACTAAAACTATCCTACTGTGATTTCAGACTTTTTTTATTTGTGATTGTGATTTATAGATTATGTCTTAGAAAATGTGGACATAGCTGTTTCAGGGGTGTCAAACTCTTTTTAGTACATGGGCCACATACAGACCACAGAATTTGATCACAGGTGAGCCGGACCAGTAAAGCCTTCGCATAATAACCTAAAAATAACACCTCTACATTTTTTTCTGACTTCAAGTGTAAAAAAGTCCAACTGCATTCTGATCCATTTACAAAACAGATTAAGCACAGTTTGAGATTTCTTAAGACCAATTAGTGCAGCCTTAAGATTATGTCTGTTTTCCCACATTCAGTCACGTGATTACTCACCGTCATTACATGTGCATTTTTCAATACATTTCCACTCGTGTAGTAATGCTGCCACCACCACACCAAACTGAAGTGGAAGTTGTTGAGGAAACAGTTTAAGTTGTTTCCTGCCTTACAAAACATTTACTAAAGTTTTGTCAGTGCCTTAGCATCAGGGTTCCACCAATATTGTTTTAAGACAGAGGTCTGAAAGAGATTCTTGTACTGAAGCTGCTGATTGACAATATTTTGCACAATGTTCAGTATATTAGAATATGACCACAGAACTGTATTCTGGTCAGGGTGGAAAACCTCTGAAGAAGCATTTTACATGACTGACTACTCACTGTTGAACAATCTGAAACCTGACACCTCTTACCCTGCTGGCCGCCAATGTTGTTAGATGTTGATATTTGATTGAATTTAGGTTATGATGTCAGGTGACCAAAATTCAATGTCACAGCAAAGGTGTTATCACTCTTATCATGACATAAGACTGTAAAAAATAGGAAAAAATAAGACGGGTATAGACAGTGATACTGTCTATTGACAGTTTAATTTTTTCTCTTTTCTTTCGGTGGTAGGTCATCTTCATTGGTGCTTTGATGTAATTTGCTTGGTACAATAAAGTGATCCATTGTCTCACTCATGCTTTCCCCTTTTAATTGTTATCATCCCTCACACTGGCTGCCAATCAGGGCTTTAGATGTGTCACACACTTTCCCTCACGTGAACGGCGATAAATAGGTTAAATTAAATGGAATTAACTACATGTGAGGATAGGGACCTCTGCAATACACTGGTTTGGGTTGGACAACTATGGAGTCAAGGATTCCAGGCCCAGTTGAATATTGCAGTTACAATGTGTGGTTATCACAAAATTCCACGGCACACCTGGATTGGCATCACAGTACACCAGTGTGCCCCGGTACAGCATTGGAAAACCACTGCTCTAGATTCCAATGAACAGCTCTGGAGTTGAGCCCACTGTGTTTCTGTCTCTGTCTGTCAGGGTGGATAAAGTGGTATCAGCAGACTCCAGGGAAGCTAAGAGTTATCTGAAGAGCCAGAACACCATACAGGAGGAGAATGGAGACAAGAAGAAGAGCTCATCACCCAGTGAACAACCTCCTCCTGGCCCCAGGTGCGCACACACCATTACACATAACATTCACACCCCACACCAACAAATTTGGATTATCATAGATTGGCTGGCTAATATTTGACACTGCAACTTGTAGCAAAGTGTAAAATGCTGCGTTTAAGGAGCCCCAGGGTTTCCTGAGTCAGAACATTTGAAGTTGCACTTGTTGAAACTTTACAGAGATGGCCTCTGTAGTGAATGCTGTGGATATTTGCTGTTGTATTGTTAAAGTTAGACTCCATTCATCCTGCAATTTGTTTTACCCATCACAACTATCAGGAGCAGTGGGCTGGTGAGTGCCTCAGTACAGCAGAAGTGGTATGTGTGCGTGTGCGCATGTTTCATTGCATTTCTAATGTCCTTGGGGCAATAATAACAAAAATCAATGTTTTTTTTTTAAATATATGCCTCTACCAAATGGTTGAGAAGTCACTCCATTGTAATTGTAAAACAGAAAGAAAAAAATAAAATTACAAACCATATACTGTTAAAATGCTAGTAATATATTAGTATACCAACATAGATCAGTTTGTTGCTATGGAATTTTCTCATCAAATATATGATGGAATAATATTAAATATATGATAATAAAAACAGTGAATATTAATCCTTTTTATAATTTGACAAAAAATGTAAATTTATTATCTTAGCATCACTACCTTTACCATAAAAGAATAAGTCAATTGTTAGTTGAATAAAAAAATCATACTTACTAAATTATCTAAGCATATATACAATGGATGACATTACATGCATTATTTGATAACAATGAATAATCAGAAGTGTTTTTCTTTGATAGCAAATAGTCAGTTTTAGTTACATAAGCTTAGCTTCACTACCTTTAACATCAAAAGAAAAAAAATCAACTATTTAGTAGACCATGTTTTTTTAAGAATTATTTGATCCTTATTAGACTCAAAATTTTTGTATAAAATTACATAAATCTGTTCAGTAAAACCTATAAAACTACAAAATGTTAGAAAAACTTGCCTACTTTGGAAAATCCCACCACACAGCGCCCTCACATCTGGAGTGACTTATTTTGTTACCAACTTCCTGTAGAACGTAAACAGAAAAGGCATACTGTTTGCGGACACAGCGACATCTATTGGATTTTTTTTTTGCATAACATACCTTGAGATAGTTAGTTCAACACATTTTTAGGTAAGATATAGTAATTCAAAATGGGCTCTACCACATGGTTGAGCAGAATGATAAGGGGTTAATACCTTTTGTTGCCATTGGAATTCAGATCATTTGGGGATGTGCACATCTTCTCTCCAAAACCTTAGACAGGAAATGGGAAATCAACTTCCAACAGACAGGAAGTACAGTGTGACCACAAGCTATTTCCTATTTGTCTCAGCCCTGTGCGTGTGTGTGTGTGTGTGTGTGTGTGTGTGTGTGTGTGTGTGGGTGTGTGTGTGTGTGTGTGAAGGGGGGGGGACACCCAGCACAACAGGAAAGACCCATCAGCACCACTCCCTCATTAACCTTGTGCACACACTCACAGAGCTTGTAAAGTTTGTTTGTTTGCTGCAGATTGAGATGATACTGTTATGTAATGTCACAGTTATCAGTACTAGAATAGTCAAACAAAATAATAAGTGGCGCTTCTTCTAATGTTATGATAATCAGCCTCTCATCCACAGTGAATGGTCCTCATGTCATTATAACTGGGTCTGTAGGTCTTTAAAGGGGAACTAATGTTTTTTTTTCAACCTGGGCCCTATTTTCCGATCTACTTTTGTCTAAATGAGTGATAGGATGTTCAATATTTGACATTTCTCCAGTACGAAGCTAGGGCTGACCTGCCTGCAGCTCATGAGCGTGCGCTATATTAAATAATAAACCGCTGCAAAAAGGGCTAGCCACACCTTTCCCATGTGAACTACCTGTGTGCCCCACTTTTAAATAATACAACATATAAACACTTAAACTATCTGCCTTTAAACGTGCCACCTCAACTACTAATGTGCAGTTTTAGCCCACTAGCTATCCCACTATTGGCAATGGTACTACTGTACTGTCAGTAAAGCAATCGTACTATCAAATTCACAAAAACTCTATCTGAATACATTGCTCTTCTAAATGGGTTCAGTTGATAATTTAATCTGCAATTTTCTATGACCTGTATCCCAAACACACACCATGTGAAACTGTATGTGGGCAACTGTGCACTCAATGGGTATGGACTAGTTTCTTTAAATTTGACACAAACGTTCACTTGGACTGAAGAATAAACTGATTCTAATTTTTGGCCATAACTCAAGAATTCATATGCTAATTATGACAAAACTTCACACAAATATCTAATAGAATTAAAAAAAAATGAAGTGATGACATTTTATATCCAAAAGGTCGAAGGTTAACTTCACTGTGACATCATAATGTTCTGTAAAAACACTTTCCTGGCCATTACTTAATGTCATACCTCAGATACAGAAGGGGAGACATTTGGTCAGATACTGATTTGGTGACACTCATCTTGGGTGTCCACCTTGAAACTGTGCTGATTGTATAGATCTGTGTTGCAGAGGGGACAATGGGCGTGAGGTATCCATGTTTTCACAGACAGGGATGTAAACTGTAAGACAACCCCGGGGCAGTAATTATAGTAACTGGAGCAGGCTTCTCACTTTTACTTGAGTCATTTTTTAATGGGAGTAATTGTACTTTTGCTTGAGTATAGATTTTTAGTACTGTAACCACTGCTGTTAGCCATATATA